GATCTAGGTTTTCAATTTCTAGTGGAAGGATGATGGAAGGAGGCTAAACCTGGTTTATTTAGGTGAACTCCTCATGATTTTAATGAAGTTTGTTGATTCAGTTTTGTGCTTCCATATCTCTTCCTCTTGCATCCAAGATTTCTCTTTTTCAGGATTTTTGGGTCCTCCATTTTTTATGGATTTTTGATCTGCTGATTTGGTTGAGGTTTTTGCATGATCTTGGAGTATTTTTAGACCCTTTGGAACTTGTTCATATTACGGCTTGAGGCTCGGCCCTTATCTCTCAAGTTTTTCTCTCTCTCAAAACTCTCTTTTGTTGCCTCTTTTGGTGAAATTTTTTAAGTTCTTTGTGCTGAGATTTTTTAGGTGTCCTTAGCTGGTCCTTAGGTGCTATGAGGTCTTCAAAACATACCTAGGATTTGCCTTCAACAAATTAACAACGAGCACCATGCAATCGTTATTTTGAGTATCCTTGATAAGAGGGGACTTTCAAAATTCCCGGCCATGTTTTGATCCTTGGGGATAACTTCACCGTGGGTTAGGAAAGGTGATTTTTGTATCCCGTTTGATTGAGTTTTGGATTTTTTTTTCTTTCTTGGTTCAGGAGGCTGAATCTATCAGTAGTATGGAACCTCTGTACATTTTTACGGCCTCTGGATATCTGAACCTTAGCACATTTTTGCAGAACCTCGACAAATTTCAACCTCCACACATCTACTGATGATCCTCTAGACACTTGCATTGAAATTCCACATCTTGAGTCCTAAGGTGAAAGCATCTAAGCCTTATTTGGGTTTTAATGACAATATTTGTAGACTAGCATTTCATGTGCAGATATGAAGGTTAAACGATTTGGTCCACATGGGTGCTTTTGAGCTAACATGGATGTCATGAAGGAAGATGGCATGGATGGATTGTGAAGGGCTCAAGGCAAAGGTATAACATAGAATTTGTGTTGTACCGGTCATAATGAGATGATTAGAGACGGAATACCAGATTGATACGATTGAACGTTGAACCCAGACTTCCAAGGAATAGTGCGCGTACAACACACACCTAAGTTCAAAATAGGGGGAGGATCCCCGATAGTGCACCGGAGAGATGCACTAGAGTTTTAGTCCAAAGACGATGTTTTTGTACATAATCAGGTCTTACATACACTGAAATTCTCTGTTGGCTCACCAGAGTTTGAGTGCACAGTGCACAGTGCACAAGAGCTAACCCTAACCTATCAGTGCACACCAGAACTCTCGAGTGTGGTACCAGAGAGATGCACCGGACAGGTGTTTTTTGTGCACACTATGATCCAACACGCACCAGAACTCTTTGGTGGTGCACCGGAGAAGTCATTGTAGTTATAACGGTTAGTGTTGCACAATACTCCCTCCGTCCCTAAAAGAATCAATTTCTAAAAATTTTGTCCACAAAAGAATCAATCTCTAGAACGGATGTCAATTTATTCCTCCTTGAAGTCTTGGTCGCATTAAATCACAGCCCCTCCCGTCTCTCTCTTTCACGCCCCCTACTCCCAAATTCCCCAATCCCCTTCCAATTTGAGTGTTGGACTATGTACAGCAGCATTTAACGTTCTTTTAATACTCCAAACAACACCTCTTAATTGTATTGGAATACCCAAGTACTCTCGGGAACTGCAGAGATATTAATGTCCAGCTAGGGTAACATACAGTCTTTTTCCTTGTTTGCTAATTTGTCCTAAAGTTGCTAGAAATTGATTCTTTCACGGATCGTTGGTTTATTTGGTGCTGCACTTCGTACAAACAGTACAAACACTCATCTAACACGTCATCGTTACCAGAATTTGCAATGAATCATCATATCTTGATAAACTTGGAGGTCAACAGTACATCATGCGAGACAACTCATCTGCTTTCTCTGTCTCACAAATGAGTACACTAGTCCTGTAGAACATGGTAACTCGATCTGGGGGCTAAAATAAATGGTCTAAAGTTTTAGTCCTCAGGCCCTTAGTTTTTTTTTTTTGGAATGTATGGACCGCGTAACAAGTTTAACTGTCACTTATAATCCGCTCGAGTCTAAGAACATTCAACTCATTTCTGTTTCTTTCTTGTATTATTATCGTTCATTTAATCTTAATGGTTGCACCCATTTGCTGTCTTCACAAATTGAATTGATGCGATGTACAACGTAGCTCTTGAGGACACAGCAGACTGCAGCAGAAAACAGCAGGATGTTGTCATCATATGATGTTGCGGCATGTTCCGTCGCAGGGGTAGGGGCAGTCGATCGCCTTCACTTGAGCTCGACCAAAGTACCAGTCGCCCACTGACTTGGCAATCCCCTGCATACGCAAACAGCAGGCTCAAACTTTTGGTTTTATATGTATGGCATCAACGGTGGGTGGTGTCGTGGTTAGTTACCCTGCTTTGAATGGCCGGGGAGGCACCACCTGCCGCGTCGCTCCATGTCACCGGCAGCTCGGACTGGCAGTGCGCGAAGCAGGAGTTGATGAAGAGCCCGTTGCTTCTGGAGCCGGCGAAGCCGTTCACGGATGCTACCATCTGGTCTCTGAAATCTGCACTCGATCCATTCATCAGTGTACATAGAAATAAACCTTGAGAACATTGTTTGGCCCTCCCTCAGGGCCTTTGGTGATTATGAATGTGTATTAATTGAATTAACCTTGCAGGAATTTCATCTGGGATGCGTCGCAGGCAGAGTGGTTGGACTTGCAGGCTCGCCAGGCTCCGCTGGGGTCAGCTCCGTTGGGTGCTAGGCTCTCCTGTATCTGATCGTCGATAGGTCGATTATGAATGGACAATGACATTCCTCGCTCATTGATGCAAGTTATTAGTTACCTGCCAGGCGTCGTATGCTGCGTTCAGCAGGAAGATGGGGGTGTTGATGCCATCGATTACGTTCTGAGGGAAGAAGCACTGCATTGCCATTGCCATGCACCAGCGCGAGCGGTGGTTAAGTTCATCAGTTCCATTCTGTCAACACGTACAACTAACTGTACAAGGAGCATGCATTTTGCTACTGGAAGTAGAAGGAACAGGGAGGAACCAGACGCACCGAGGTAGTGTCCAAACGGGCAGTGCAGGCCGGCGGCAGGTTGGGACCCACGCCCTGCATGGCCACGATGTCGGAGTAGTAGGATCGCAGGCTGCGCCCGCCGGAGACATCGGAGCTGCATGCATATATGCACTGCTCAAGTCAAGATGAACGAAGCGCCAGCAGATGGAGCAACAATTTCTGTTAATTGGTACGGTGGCACTGCATGCATGCACGTACGCGTCGAGGAAGAGGCCGGCGTCGGCGAGGCACTTGACGGTGGTGGTGCCGGCGCCGGCGTTGGACGACTGAGGGAAGAAGGCCTGGAACTGATCGCAGTGCAGTATGACCGCGAGGCCGCCGGCGGAGCAGCCGGTGAGCAGCACCTGATCTGCGGAGGCCATCCCGATGGAGAGGAGGTGCCGGACGGTGGCGTCCCAGATGCGCTGCCCGCGGAAGTAAAACCCGTTCTCCTGCAGCAGTGTCATGTCAGGTCAATCGATCGATCGTTTGACCAAATCGTATGATACTATCGATCTGTAAACTGAAATTGTAACAACTACTGCAACCGAAAGGAAGGTTGCATGCGTCGTGCGTGCCTTGTCGAAGCCTTCGCCGGCGAAGGACGCGCCGTCGCAGTAGCGGATCTTCACCCGGTTCCAGTTGTAGAAATCTGTATGTAAATGCATGATGTGCATGTGAGATCGAGAGGGATTGAATTGAAGGTAAGAAGACGACGACGAATCGAAGCTAGGGATGGGACGGACCAGGGTTGTCGAGAGGGCTGCTGCTCATAATGCCGCCGAAGGGGATCTCCTTCTCCATGAGGTCCGACGAGCCGCGGCGGCTGGCCTTGCGGAACTGGCACGCCCGAACGTTGTTGCACCAACCGCCTCCCTGTACCACAATATACATTATATGTATCAGCCGGTTGCGTTTATGACCAAATCAGTTGATCTTATGAGCAATCAGGCATCGATCGATCACGAATTAGTGCATCCATGCATGGTAGTAAAACGTACAATTGGAGTTAATTAACTGATGGATCTTTAATTTGACTGACCTCCAGGTTGACAATCCAGCTATTGTTCCCTGCTCCGGAGCCAGGGTGCAAGTGGTAAGCAGGCGGTGTTCCGTCCATGCACACTGATCGAACAGGTACACCGTTACATATTTCTACTACTAGTAGTAGCGGAAAACATGGCGCTTGTTTGAAGGTGACCGAAGAAAAATTAGAAAGATAAAAACAAGTGTTGGCTATTCAAATATTAGGAGGAGGAGTACGATAATTAAAAAAATGCAGACAATTGAGATATAGAACTGGACAAATTAAGATAGACATTATATTCATTCCTGACATGCATCGGGGCCTGGTTCTGCGGGTCAAGGCTCGCATTTCGTTTAGATGCAGGGTGCGGCAACGTTGTTCTGCTCAGTGCTCACCAAGCTAGTTGATGAGAACACAAGCGCCCGGCCCGTGAAAGCTACGGATCGATAGGAGCAAGCTCGTGAAGTGTACCACCAGCTGTGCAACACGACGCCTTTTTTTGGAAGCACACGCACGCGCGTGCGCGATCCGGCCGTATCATATCGTCCACGCGCCGACCGCACTACCGAAATGGCAGGCAGACACCGACGATTGCATGCACCGTGTGCGCATGGCGACACACGGCCCACGGCCCGGCCGGCGCATGCATGCCAGTGACAGATCACCGATCACGGATCCATGTGCATACGGACAGCAGCGGCAAAAGCCAGCTAAAGTCCTCTCGATCTATCTCGTGCATGCTGCTGGTGTTCCGTGAGACCGTGAACAAATTAATCCGCCGCCAGGACTCGACAAAAGGAGATCTATCGCAATTGTGATATACAGACATGAACAATATTGTTATACTACTGTCCATGCATGACTGAGGAAGTGAGAAGGAAGGAATTGAAGAAGGAGAAGCATATATATGCATGCATACCGGCTCCCGAGTCGACGGCGGACTTGAGGATGGTGATGGGCACCATGAGGGGCGCGGCGGGCGTCACCGCCTCGGCCGCCGTGGCGGCGGTCCTGCTCCTCCTCCTCCTCCTGCGGCTGCCCCTACTATTGCTGTTCATCTTCTCATCTGCAGCGGCGGCGGCGCAGTAGCTACCTATGAGGACGACGAGTACAACGACGAAGAGGAAAAGCCCCCTGCTGCAGGGTTTGGGTTTGGCAACAGCCCCATGCGCATAAGCATGCACCCCCATCGTCTATCGATCGACCCTCTCCTCTGTCGTCTCTCTGATGCCAGAAAGCGGGCCGGCCGGCATAAAGAGCAGATGATGTATGTATCCAAGGAGCTTAAGCCAGCAGCAAGCCTTTATTATACATATATATAAATTTGACGACGCGCGCATAGCAAGGGGGTGACGCACCTAGCTTATTAGCAGCATATATATCTAACCACAGCTAGCAAAGAACGACCATCGTATACTCATAGCACGCTAGCTGCGCTACGACAGCCAAGAAATCCACGACGAGTAATTAAACTAGCTAGTTGAGCTAAATATTGTGTGCTTAATTAGCTTCCATCATGCATGTGTGAGAATATACTGCGTCGGTGTGTGTTCAGTGTCCTCAACTAGCAAGCTAGGTAATGCATGCACAACAAATTAATTATAGTATGATAATAATATATTCGCAAATATCTCGTTTGATTTAATGGTGTATGTTGACATACACCATTAAATTCAATTCGCCAGCTGACTCATTTAATCAGCCAGTCCAGGGAGTCAATCAATCAAACACGCATGCATGCATGCTGCCGGGCTTCGCATGGCTTCGTGGTGTGGTGCTCGATCGGGCAACCATCGATTTCGACGGCCCACTCATCACCGTCTCACCAGTATCATTCAAGGCCAAAAAGGCTAAATGACAACTCTACGATCTCGACCTCACACTAGCCGGCCGCCTGCCCGCCTCGCTATGTATCAGGGCATGTACAACAGAGAGACAACTCGCTAGCGCTACCCATGCATTGTCGCCTAGCTGGTGCACAGCTCGCTAGACTAGTAAATGTTAGTCTATCAATCCATGCTTATATGTGTGCACAAACAACTAGCAATCTTATAAAAGATATATAAACATTAGAAGATCGCACATAAATCTCTAGAAGCTACAACAATCATATGACTATTTTGCATTTGTTCATTTCAAAATATAACACCTAAATAGAGACTTTGATGATTTTTATCCAGTTGCATTAGACTTCGATAATCAGGTACCGATGGTTTTTCATCCTCATGCATAAATTTTCTTCTTCTATCGCACCTCCATATGTGCCCAACATGTGCTTTAACTGAAACATTAGCTTTGGCTATGTCAACTGTTATTGCCCCTGTCTGGCAATTTATAAGAACTTTCTTTTCCACATATTATTAAATTGATACACTAGCTTTTGTTGTAGTTTTTATTCTTGACCAATATCTAGAGATCTTATTATCTGCCACTGTGAATCACTATTTTAGTCGTATGCATACCGGTGGCATATGAGTTTTCTTGGTGACATATATAAATAAATGTCTCAATTTTTGTATTATTTTATGGCAGAGATGGCAATTTGAAAACAATTAGATCCAATGGACATTATTGACGTTAATAACTGAACATAAATTGATGTCAGAATTACATTTTTTTTGGAACTTGTAAAATATATCTATTTTTATATCGATGGTCACAATTATATTTCTTTTAGAACTTCTTAATTTATCTATTTTTATATCACATATCATAAAGATTAACGTGGAAACTTTAAAAGATGTATATATATATATATATATATATATATATAGGAAGATGCCCTGAACAAGTCACGCCAAAGCTCTAAATTATATATGCTTCTATACCAGTAGTTTGGACATTTTCGCCGTTAACAAATGTGCACACAATCTCTCTCTCTCTGTGTCTAATACCAGCACATACATACAATATACAAATTATTAAGTGCAGAATGTTGCCTCGAGAAAATCAGAATAAGATATTTGCTGCATAGGCAACCTCCTATGATCCATACTAACTGGAATGGAAGGACGTACTTATGTAAGAAGTAGCTAAAATAGTCTAGCAATCTAAGAAAACAGCAACTCTGCAAAACATATAAAACAAAAAAAATAGAGAAATGAGCCATCTAGCCAAAGGGCGTTGGGTTTCTAAGACAAAATAAATAAATTAAATTTAAAAGAAAAATATTGTGCCTGCTGGGATTCGAGCTCAGGTCTCTATGGCCACAACATGGAATTCTTACTACTAAACTACAGCCACAACTTGTGTTTGATTTACCTATCAATTCTATTTAAATTATATAGTCACATGAAGACACTTTTTCCCAATTTAGGCCGTCAATATTCGTGAAGGCTCAGTACACGGTATGCGAGTGAACTCATCGCCTCTGCAAGTATTTTCACCAACCAATTTCTCAGGAATTATAAACATACTCACAAAGTTCCCAGATCAACGGGGTAGAAAAATGAGGTCAAGAAACGTAGTACACTACCTGTAAGAGGTTTTTACATGGTCGATGCCTTCGACTTTATTTTCTATGATTATTATTATAAAACACAGTCACAGCATAAACTCTGTTAAAAACACTCAACAAAAAAGAAACTTTGTTCCGTGTGTCTTTATTCCTCCACAAAGAAACTGTGCAAATAATACCACCACTATTGACTATCCAAACCCAGAATAAGGCCTCGTTTAGTTACTCCTCCAAAACTTTACACCCTATCATATCGAATATTTGGACATATATATGGAGTATTAAATATAAACTAAAAAATAATTAATTGCACAAATTACGACTACTTTGCGAGACAAATCTTTTAAGCCTAATTAGTCTATGATTTGACAATGTTATGCTACATTAACACATGTGCTAATGATGGATTAATTAATCTTAATAAATTCGTCTCGCGGTTTACTAACGGATTCTATAATTTGTTCTTTTATTTGTATCCGATCACCTCATGCGACACCCCATGTAACATCCGATGTAAAACCCCAAAACTTTACGCCCTGGATCTAAACAAAGCCTAAGGTCTTACATTCTTTTGACACCAATTATGAATGAGAGGTGACAAGGCCTAAGGTCTTACATTCTTTTGACACCAATTATGAATGAGAGGAGACTGCCAAGCTCTCGGAAAAATGAGCTGCAGCCGACAAGGAACTTTCAGTTACACAAGACATCAAAAACGAAGATTTCTTTGACGCTACTATCCAGCACTAGATGCTACATCTGAATAGTCGTCACTGAAATTATATTGCTCGTAAACTTGGAACAGGATCTCTCTGCAGGGTACAACTGCCCCAATCTTGATGCAGGCAAGGAATGCACCTGACAGCTTTCTATGGAGGCTGTACACTTCATCCGGAGGTGGGGTCAGCCTGTGCTTCAACATGGTAGCCCCGAGATTGGAAACACTATGTGTGATATTATTCGCTCGAAAATCGTGACCACCTGACTTTGAGAATGGCACACCAATAATGAAGGCTGCTTGGACATGAGCATCCAGCATAACTTCTGGTTCCTCGGCAGTAAGGAATCCGAGTCTGCGGGACATCTCTAAGACACCGGTGCGATCTCTATTTGCACAGGCAACTACCTGAGAAACAATAGAACAAATCAGATACCAACCATCTACAAAGTGTTTTGGAAAAATCCTGATAATGCACTCTGAGACAATTGAAGGGTGCACTAAAATTGTCATTTCATACTATTCGTAGGTAATCATCTACAAAGTGTTTTGGAAAATCACGGGCTGCTCCAAAGTCAATCAGATTGAATTTCCTTGTAGCATCATTGTACAGAAAATTGCTCCAATTTGGATCAGTCTGCACCAAAGTAGTAGTAATTAAAGATCAGCATAAAAGAGTAGTTTAAATGAAAGGTTTTCAGTGATGACAATGAGCACCACAATTATAAATTGATGAAATTTTACCATGATGCTAATTATACAACCAGCCAACTCTAACTACTAGTTCTTTAGGAATTTAGCAGATGGGATGAGAGCTGGCACATGCCTGCATGAATCTGAAGACAAACAACTCCTTAATTGTTAGCTCAAGCAGTTTACAACCAACATAATTCCGGGTTTCCTGGCTTAACTGAGCCACCTTATCGATAGGAACCCCTGAACCAGCAAGTAGATGAAGCTGTTAGAATCTCCAGTAAACATATACTGATTCAATTCATGAAAAACAGCTAGTATGAATTACAAAGTACAGCAACAAATATATGTTTGAATCCATACTGCAAAATAATCCAGGCTTCATAAACCCCAAAACATCCTCGCCTCTCTCTTTGGTTGGTTGTACAATTAGTGTTGGCAATGGAAGAGGTAGGAAAACTCACACAGACACTCATGCTAAATGTTTACACAAGGAAGTTGAAATGGATAACCCACATCCACCAGGATCCCATGCAAATTTCTAGGATTATTACAATTAACAGTTGAGCAGAGCTCAGCGAATTGTCATCGTTATTAACTGGTAACATCAAACAATAAATACAAGGCAAAAAAAATCATAGCATTATTGCTCAAAAGTAGAAATACCTGGAACAAACTCTGAGGTCAGCACTTTCTTGCTAGACAATTGATCAATGACCTTCGGAACATAATAGCCATCACTATCACATAGCAATTCTTTGTAACGCTTCTGGTTACTTGCTTCTAGCACATAATCACACTCCCTTGCCAGCTCCTGCTTTGCCACCTGAATTGTATAACATGAATATCAAAGAGCTTATTTCTTTATGTTTATAAATTTGCATTAAAGTGCTTTTTACTCTATTACCAGAATAGAATATAAAACACAGAAAATATCAATGTATGACCAGTATGTGTGGTTAAAAGATTATAGAATTTATGAACAGAGATAGTAAAGACAGCAATTTGCTTGATGTGACTATTGAAAATTTCATAAATCTTTTTTGGCTTTCTTTTCATTTGTTTATTAAGTAAAGACCAACCATTGTTCATGTCATACAGAAAAGAGCTTAACATACTCATATGCGCAGCACCTCACAGTAAAATCTACTAATCTAGTCTATGTTTGCACAAACATTTATAATTTTGACAGAGAATAAAAAAGCAAAAGCGTGCTGAGACAGTAGGCAGAAATAGGATGAGGAAAAAACAATAGAATGAATAATCCATATTTCATCAAAATAATGAAGAAAAAGATTTACCTTCATAGCTCTATCAAGAAA